ATGTAATGATCAAGAGCGTCTGCAACCGGGAATTAAGGCATGTTTCATCACTTCTAAGTATGAAACGTCTCTCGTTTCTCGTGTTTAGGCTAACACCTATTCCAAACACAATGCAACACATAACATGGCATGCTCAATGCAATGTATGGCAACCTTAGCATTCAAACATGCAACTACATGGCATACACAATGCTAAATGCTAAGAACTAGATGGGGTTCTCAATGCAAGGCAATCATAGGGTTCTTAACACAATGTAATGCATGCATGCACAATGCAATGCAGTATGGGCAACAATATGTAACACACCAAGCATGCAACAGCATGCAAACCACATCTCAATGGACTTAAACCGAAATGGATAGACCTTAGTCATGCCAAAACAGTGGCCATAAAGATGAAATGAAGGCACCGAAAACAAATGCAAACATGCATGCCAATTGGCTCACCAATTGAGGCACTAAGGTGCAACTCTCAAGAACACTTAGAGAGTGAAAAACATGGAAGTGTAACAATACTAAGTGCACTAAAATTAAGTAAGAAATGATGCTGATCATTCAAACAACACAAGGGAAACATGCAATGGTCCTTATGCATTAAAGCTAGCGAAGAGGACTACACATGAGGCATGCAATACATGGCATAAATGCATGAACCAATCATGGATAGAGCTTAAATAGGTCTTAACAAAGACCAAAACATGCTGAGATGAGGGCTCAAATACCTAGGCATGCGAGCATACAAGCTAAGCCATAAACTAGGTAACAATGCACAACACTTAAAGGCATTCAAGCATGAATGAAACGGGGATATGGAAATGCTATAAGCTCTAAAATGAAGTATTAACTGATGCCAAATCATCTAAATAGCTCAAAGATAACATGCATGAGTCAACAAAAACAAAGCTAACAAGGCCAATTACACTACAGCTATACAAAGCATGAAACATATGGCAAAGGCAACCCAAAACAGTCCTAGAACATGTTAAAATGATCTAAAACATGCATGAAAGGAAACCAAAAATAAGCTAGCATGAAGGGCATAAGGCATGATACATACAAGGCAAATAAGGTGGATTACACTACACCTATTAAGACCAAGCCTGGAATGACTTAAGAAAAAAAAATCAGAGTTATATCATGGCAAAATAACCCCAAATAATCACTGAAATGATGGCTCGCAAGCTATGGCATGAAGGCATACACAATGGCCTCCTGTTAAGGCATAAAGTGGCCAACCCTCCAACGCATTGAATAAGTGAAAGATGTGAATGCATGGCCATGAAACATGGACTGAAATAACATTACAAATGATGCCAAATCATTAAAATAGTCCAAGTAATGCATGCTAGTGGACTCAATACACAAGGTAACTAGCTAGATTGAACCATAGCTATTCAAAACAAGGCATGCATAACCAAAACAACTAAAATCAGACTTTAAACATGGTAAAACTGAACAAAATCTTCTTTAAGTTTAGCCAAAAGCATGCTAAAATGACATGTCAACAGTATGCATGTTAGGCTATTTCATGGAATTACACTACAAGTGTATGGAGCATGCAAGGGCCAACAAACCCACCCAAAACAGAGTCATGGCATGCTAAAACATCACCAAAAACATGTTGAAATGGAAAGAAAACAAGCTAGAATGACAAGGTACTTCATGAAGCATCAAAGCTAGTTTGTGTGATTTACACTACAAGTGTACTAACCATGGATGAAGTGATAAAACCAAACAAAATAGTGGTATGCCTCAGCAAAATAACCACAAATACAAGTTAAGATATATGCCAACAAAAGCTTAATAAAGATGCTCAAACATAGGCATATGAAGTAAGTAAACAAAATACAAGGAGAGGGGATGACCCTCTCCTATTTAGGACACCAAAAAAACCGTTCCACCACTGAAAATCCTCTGGATTTCAGTGGTAGAAAGGTCATGCAAAGGTTTCAACAAGAGCCTAAAGGGATGGCTCAAAACAAGGCCTAACAAGGCCTAATAGGGGTAAACCACCCCCAACGAAAAACTGACTTAAACAACTATTTTAAGCATGCAAAAATAGAACTTTTTCTAGTTAAGATCTTAGCTTAAAGCAGTATGCAAGAAGGGCTAAAAGCTTAAGCGAGAAAGGGGATTTAAAGGTCAAATAGTCACCCTTGAAGACCTCCTTTACAACTGCAACTCCAGCAAGTTCTTTGAGCTTAACCAGTCCAAGAACACCAAAAACAACCCATAGCACCTCAGCAACCAAAGGAAGGTTTGAGTGTGTGTTTGTGTGTTAAACTAGGACAAAATACCACTTTAAGGCACAAAATGGGAACAAACAAGGAAGGATAGATACAAGTGTATATCTATCTCTCAAACCTCAAGTTTCTGAACCTAGAGGAGGGTGGAGGAGCCTCCCTCTTATAGGAACTAAAAGGCAAAGCTTCTTGGAGAAGCTAAGCTTCAAGCAAATCCCTCCATACACGTGTATGGAGGATAGCCCAAATGCCCTCCAACTGTGCCAGCTGGAGGAAAATATCTCCCAAAAAGTGACTAAAAGCAGCCGACCACTTGAAGTGGTTGGCCTGTTACTAAAAGTGGTCGGCCGACCACTTTAAGTGGTCTTCCAAGACACAAAATGGTCGGCCATGGGGTAAAGAGTCTAGGGCATGAAAACAATGCAATGGTGTGGTGGCCGAACAGAAATGTGGCCCAAAGACCAAGCAAGCCAGTTATCTGACAAGAAAATAGCTGGCAGAAGGAAAAGTGGTCTTCAGGAGAAAAAGTGGTCTCCCACCCTTGTACCACCTTCCACACAAGGAAACAAGGTTTGTACCAAAAAACAAACCAAAATGGATGCAAGACGAGAGATCGGGAGGCAAAGCACGCGGCGAAAGCCCCGAAAACTAGCTGACGAGCACCAAATGTGGTATGCAATCACAAAAGTGGTTCTCCTGGACCACAGTGTCCCTCTAGGCAGAGGCAACAAGGTGTGGTTCAAAAACCACGCCAATGGAGAACGTCAAGCGGTCCTGAGACAAGGCGCGTGGCCAAAGCCTACAAAAACCGAAAACAAGTCTCCAAACGGGAAAAGTGGCCTACGACCACAAAGAGATGGTCTACATGTAATAACCCGACCCTCATATCTGTTTCTAGTATATTTTCGATTTGTTATTCTGTGCATTTACTTGCTTTCTGTGAAAAGTGATTTTATATCTATGGCATTTTTATTAGTGTATTTGGAACCTCCCTATTTTATTTTGGGCTATTGATTGTGGTGGTAATATGATGGTAAAGTAAGATTTGATCAAAAACTTTAATTTGAATAATTCGTTTACGACCAACCGTCACTCTTTTCCTTTTCTTGTTCCACACTTGGAATTTGGATGTGATGTTAGAACATTGGAAAGCTTGTTTTCGGGGCTTCAATTTGGGCACAAGAATGACCTAAAACGGAGTCCGGATGAGAGAGTTACGCCTCTTTGAAGTTTTCATATCTGGCTGGAAGCAGGACCGCACGTGCGGGAAATGCGGCGCACGTGCAGCGATGTGCGGGGCAGCAGCTCAAAAACGTGATTTTTGAGCCATTCTTAGATTTTCTTTTCCTCTCTTCTTCTTCCCTCTTCCATGTCCGAAACCCTAGCTCCCAAAACCTTGATTTCCTCCACTTTTCTCAACAAATCAACCATGGATCTTGCATCAAGGATGGAGAATAAGAGGAGATCACCACTTTCTACGAATGGAATTTCGAAATTTTTGAGGTATGTTGGGGTTCTATTATGGGGTTTAGAGTATGGTTTATGGGTTATGGACCTAGGGTGCCTATAAATGGAAGATTTGAAATAAAAAGTAATGGGTTAAGAAGATTTAAAATTTTATTTGAATTTGTAGATTTCTTAGAAACCCTAGGTTGATTTTTGACGATAATCCATGATTTGGCCCAAATGATAGTTGAATCATGAAAGTTGTAGGTTGAATTAGATGTGTTCAAGTTTAATTAGAATTTGGTTATGTTTGAAAATTATGTTTAAATTTTGCGATTGAACTTTGTTAAATGCATTGTAAATTATGTTTTAATAAAAGGGAAATTGGGGGAAAAGATTTATTGATAATGTGGATGATATAAATTCGATTATGGAATGTTGAAATGGAATTTAAGATTCCTTTGAGATATGTTGAATTGTGATGATTATGTGGGATGGTATTAACTATGTTGATATTAATTTTTGTGACCTAAAATGTGAAGTTTTCAAGAATGGGTTTAATCCCAAATCATTTTACTAAATATTTGTGGGCTTGCTTAGTTATTAAACCAAGAGAATGATTTAATAGGATTTCTTATGGGGATGGGGAAATGTTTGGTTTTTGGTGAAAACACTAGAAATTTAAGGAGTTTGGGGAACATGGAAATGTTCATAAAAATCCTTTCTTTCTTTGAATAGAAGATGAATGTGTGTAAATTCCATAATGTGTTTTGTAAGACTAGTAATCTTATATATATATATATATTGAGTTGGAGAAGTAGGTTTGAAACTTCATGCTGCAAAATATTGTTTGCTCTGTTTTACATGCTTAACCCTCTGGTATTCCTGGAATTATGTTTGATGCCTTACTGTATAAGTTGTGTACACGTGTAGGGCATAACCTGAGAAGGACGAGCACTCCGTTATAGCACTGTGAATAATAGTACTCTAATGCACATTATTTACCGTTAATAATGATTCTTATTAACATCTTGTTCCCCGTGGTCAATTAAGTTAACATGTATGTGGAACGAGAATTAGTGTGAACTTATGTAAACATTGAAGGATTTGGCACACACTGACATGATACAGATATCTACCTAGAGTGGATCATCAAAACGAATACTGGATAAGACTACAGGTTGTTTTGTACGTTAATAACCATTATGAAATTATGTTAAATATCAGATGAACCTCTGAATGACTCAATCCGGAGAAAGAATTGAATGTCAATAACACGATTATGTGACCCACATTATGATGTGAATGGCTCCACTCTTATTAATGTAATGGAGCATTTACCTTCTGTTTATTGTTAATAGTGTTGTTCTATTATTGTGGGACAATTATGTCACCTTATGAGAAACCATGGGAAAATCTAAGAGCATTACTGGGTACTACGTTCTGTTTATTTTGATAATGGATACTAGCACACTGTTATCAGTAAGTCAGTTGTATGAATTTATAACGAACAAGGGGAATGTAAGTGTATTACGAGATTATGGTATCTGCGTATCTCTGGACTCGTTTAATATGTACTAACATTCTGTTATCTGTGAACTAGAGGTAGTAATTCATGACAAACAAATGGGATGTGACTGCATTATGAAGTTCAATCTAGTAATAGTTGCTATTAGCACTCTGTTGAACGTAACGTAACTATGTTACCTCATGTGAATAATTAGAAGGAACTATGTGCTTCTGTATGATTTATAAGGCCGAGAGCCGTTTTGTGAAATATGAATCTATGAGGCCGAGGGCCAGCTTGTGAAATTATGAATATTTGTGAAATCTATGAACTTATGAGGCAAAGGGCCGACTTGTGACTCTATGAACTTATGAGGCCGAGGGCCAACTTGTGAATTTGTGAACTTATGAGGCCGAGGACCAACTTGTGAAAATATGAATCTATGAGGCCGAGGGCCAACGTGTGAAACTATGAATTCAAAGGGCCAAGGGCCAAGTTGTGAAGTTATGAATTCAATTATGAATCTATTTTAATTTTTCTTTTCTCTACACTTTGGCAATTTTGAAGTCCTCAAATAACAAAAAGTTAGTATTCATTGTCAACAGTAAACAGAATGGACTGCTCAATAATGCCTCTAGATTTTCCAATCAACATATTGTTAACTTAATTACTTGCAAGGGATAGAATGTTAACAATGAGAATCATTACTGTGCCCTTTTCTGGCAGATATAGTACTACTACTCACAGTGCTATAACGGAGTGCTTGTCCTTCTCAGGTTATGCCCTACACGTGTACACAACTTATACAGTAAGGCATCAAACACAAATTCCAGAAATACTAGAGGGTTAAGCATGTAAAACAGAGCAAACAATATTTTGCAGCATGAAGTTTCAAACCTACTTCTCCAACTCAATATATATATATATATATAAAAGATTACTAGTCTTACAAAATACATTATGGAATTTATACCCATTCCTCTTCTATTCAAAGAAAGAAAGGATTTTTATGAACATTTCCATGTTTCCCAAAACTCCTTAAATTTCTAGTGTTTCCACTAAAAACCAAACATTTCCCCATCCCCATAAGAAATCCTATTAAATCATTCTCTTGGTTTAATAACTAAGCAAGCCCACAAATATTTAGTAAAATGATTTGGGATTAAACCCATTCTTGAAAACTTCACATTTTAGGTCACAAAATTAATATCAACATAGTTAATATCATCCCACATAGTCATCACAATTCAACATATCTCAAAAGGAATTCTTAAATTCTATTTCAACATTCCATAATCGAATTTATATCATCCACATTATCAATAAATCTTTTCCCCCAATTTCCCTTTTATTAAAACATAATTTACAATGCATTTAACAAAGTTCAATCGCAAAATTTAAACATAATTTTCAAACATAACCAAATTCTAATTAAACTTGAACACATCTAATTCAACCTACAACTTTCATGATTCAACTATCAATTTGGGCCAAATCATGGATTATCGTCAAAAATCAACCTAGGGTTTCTAAGAAATCTACAAATTTCAAATAAAATTTTAAATCTTCTTAACCCATTACTTTTTATTTCAAATCTTCCCATTTATTAGGCACCCTAGGTCCATAACCCATAAACCATACTCTAAACCCCATAATAGAACCCCAACATACCTCAAAAATTTCGAAATTCCATTCGGTAGAAAGTGGTGATCTCCTCTTATTCTCCATCCTTGATGCAAGATCCATGGTTGATTTGTTGAGAAAAGTGGAGGAAATCAAGGTTTTGGGAGCTAGGGTTTCGGACATGGAAGAGGGAAGAAGAAGAGAGGAAAAGAAAATCTAAGAAATGGCTCAAAAATCACGTTTTTGAGCTGCTGCCCCGCACATCGCTGCACGTGCGCCGCATTTCCCGCACGTGCGGTCCTGCTTCCAGCACAGATATGAAAACTTCAAAGAGGCGTAACTCTCTCATCCGGACTCCGTTTTAGGTCATTCTTGTGCCCAAATTGAAGCCCCGAAAACAAGCTTTCCAATGGTTCTAACATCACATCCAAATTCCAAGTGTGGAACAAGAAAAGGGAAAAAGAGTGACGGTTGGTCGTAAACGAATTATTCAAATTAAAGTTTTTGATCAAATCTTACTTTACCATCATATTACCACCACAATCAATAGCCCAAAATAAAATAGGGAGGTTCCAAATACACTAATAAAAATGCCATAGATATAAAATCACTTTTCACAGAAAGCAAGTAAATGCACAGAATAACAAATCGAAAATATACTAGAAACAGATATGAGGGTCGGGTTATTACATGTAGACCATCTCTTTGTGGTCGTAGGCCACTTTTCCCGTTTGGAGACTTGTTTTCGGTTTTTGTAGGCTTTGGCCACGCGCCTTGTCTCAGGACCGCTTGACGTTCTCCATTTGGCGTGGTTTTTGAACCACACCTTGTTGCCTCTGCCTAGAGGGACACTGTGGTCCAGGAGACCACTTTTGTGATTGCATACCACATTTGGTGCTCGTCAGCTAGTTTTCGGGGCTTTCGGCCGCGTGCTTTGCCTCCCGATCTCTCGTCTTGCATCCATTTTGGTTTGTTTTTGGTACAAACCTTGTTTTCCTTGTGTGGAAGGTGGTACAAGGGTGGGAGACCACTTTTTCTCCTTGAAGACCACTTTTCCTTCTGCCAGCTAGTTTTCTTGTCAGATAACTGGCTTGCTTGGTCTTTGGGCCACATTTCTGTTCGGCCACCACACCATTGCATTGTTTTCATGCCCTAGACTCTTTACCACCATGGCCGACCATTTTGTGTCTTGGAAGACCACTTAAAGTGGTCGGCCGACCACTTTTAGTAACAGGCCAACCACTTCAAGTGGTCGGCTGCTTTTAGTCACTTTTTGGGAGATATTTTCCTCCAGCTGGCACAGTTGGAGGGCATTTGGGCTATCCTCCATACACGTGTATGGAGGGATTTGCTTGAAGCTTAGCTTCTCCAAGTAGCTTTGCCTTTTAGTTTCTATAAGAGGGAGGCTCCTCCTCCCTCCTCTAGGTTCAGAAACTTGAGGCTTGTGAGATAGATATACACTTGTATCTATCCTTCCTTGTTTGTTCCCATTTTGTGCCTTAAAGTGGTATTTTGTCCTAGTTTAACACACAAACACACACTCAAACACCTTCCTTTGGTTGCTGAGGTGCTATGGGGTTGTTTTTGGTGTTCTTGGACTGGTTTAAGCTCAAAGAACTTGCTGGAGTTGCAGTTGTAAAGGAGGTCTTCAAGGGTGACTATTTGACCTTTAAATCCCCCTTTCTCGCTTAAGCTTTTAGCCCTTCTTGCATACTGCTTTAAGCTAAGATCTTAACTAGAAAAAGTTCTATTTTTGCATGCTTAAAATAGTTGTTTAAGGTCAGTTTTTCGTTGGGGGTGGTTTACCCCCTATTAGGCCTTGTTAGGCCTTGTTTTGAGCCATCCCTTTAGGCTCTTGTTGAAACCTTTGCATGACCTTTCTACCACTGAAATCCAGAGGATTTTCAGTGGTGGAACGGTTTTTTTGGTGTCCTAAATAGGAGAGGGTCATCCCCTCTCCTTGTATTTTGTTTACTTACTTCATATGCCTCATGTTTGAGCATCTTTATTAAGCTTTTGTTGGCCATATATCTTAACTTGTATTTGTGGTTATTTTGCTGAGGCATACCACTATTTTTGTTTGGTTTTATCACTTCATCCATGGTTAGTACACTTGTAGTGTAAATCACACAAACTAGCTTTGTATGCTTCATGAAGTACCTTGTCATTCTAGCTTGTTTTCTTTCCATTTCAACATGTTTTTGGTGATGTTTTAGCATGCCATGACTCTGTTTTGGGTGGGTTTGTTGGCCCCTTGCATGCTCCATACACTTGTAGTGTAATTCCATGAAATAGCCTAACATGCATCATGCTTTGACATGTCATTTTAGCATGCTTTTGGCTTAACTTAAAGAAGATTTTGTTCATGTTTTACCATGTTTAAAGTCTGATTTTAGTTGTTTTGGTTATGCATGCCTTGTTTTGAATAGCTATGGTTCAATCTAGCTAGTTAGCCTTGTGTATTGAGTCCACTAGCATGCATTACTTGGACTATTTTAATGATTTGGCATCATTTGTAATGTTATTTCAGTCCATGTTTCATGGCCATGCATTCACATCTTTCACTTATTCAATGCGTTGGAGGGTTGGCCCCTTTATGCCTTAACAGGAGCCATTGTGTATGCCTTCATGCCATAGCTTGCGAGCCATCATTTCAGTGATTATTTGGGGTTATTTTGCCATGATATAACTCTGATTTTTTTTTCTTAAGTCATTCCAGGCTTGGTCTTAATAGGTGTAGTGTAATCCACCTTATTTGCCTTGTATGTATCATGCCTTATGCCCTTCATGCTAGCTTATTTTGGTTTCCTTTCATGCATGTTTTAGATCATTTTAACATGTTCTAGGACTGTTTTGGGTTGCCTTTGCCATATGTTTCATGCTTTGTATAGCTGTAGTGTAATTGGCCTTGTTAGCTTTGTGTTTTGTTGACTCATGCATGTTATCTTTGAGCTATTTAGATGATTTGGCATCAGTTAATACTTCATTTTAGAGCTTATAGCATTTCCATATCCCCGTTTCATTCATGCTTTGAATGCCTTTAAGTGTTGTGCATTGTTACCTAGTTTATGGCTTAGCTTGTATGCTCGCATGCCTAGGTATTTGAGCCCTCATCTCAGCATGTTTTGGTCTTTGTTAAGACCTATTTAAGCTCTATCCATGATTGGTTCATGCATTTATGCCATGTATTGCATGCCTCATGTGTAGTCCTCTTCGCTAGCTTTAATGCATAAGGACCATTGCATGTTTCCCTTGTGTTGTTTGAATGATTCAGCATCATTTCTTACTTAATTTTAGTGCACTTAGTATTGTTACACTTCCATGTTTTTCACTCTCTAAGTGTTCTTGAGAGTTGCACCTTAGTGCCTCAATTGGTGAGCCAATTGGCATGCATGTTTGCATTTGTTTTCGGTGCCTTCATTTCATCTTTATGGCCACTGTTTTGGCATGACTAAGGTCTATCCATTTCGGTTTAAGTCCATTGAGTATGTGGTTTGCATGCTGTTGCATGCTTGGTGTGTTACATATTGTTGCCCATACTGCATTGCATTGTGCATGCATGCATTACATTGTGTTAAGAACCCTATGATTGCCTTGCATTGAGAACCCCATCTAGTTCTTAGCATTTAGCATTGTGTATGCCATGTAGTTGCATGTTTGAATGCTAAGGTTGCATTACATTGCATTGAGCATGCCATGTTATGTGTTGCATTGTGTTTGGAATAGGTGTTAGCCTAAACACGAGAAACGAGAGACGTTTCATACTTAGAAGTGATGAAACATGCCTTAATTCCCGGTTGCAGACGCTCTTGATCATACATGATAGAGTTCTAGGCTTTATGTGTTTACTTGTGCATTCATTTCATATTGAATTCTGCAACTTCACCTCTCGGCCATCATGCATGGAAATGCGCGATTGGTGGCCCGAGGGTCGAGAACTACACTCCCTTGAGTTCATAACATGATAGGGAGGGTGGTTGTGCACACATATCTTGCAAATACATTGCGATGCCCTTTCTTGCTCTCTATTGTAGCAAAGTGGGATCCAGCAGCAACAACTGGTCGGCCAGCCAGAAAAACTAGCTGGCCGACCACTTTTTCTGTCCAACAACAACAAAAAGTGGTCAGCAGGTGTTTAGAGAGACCAAAAGTGGTCGGCCACCCTCCCACAGGTTTCCTTAGGTGGAGTTTCAACTTTCTGGAGCGTGGTGCAAGTTTCTGAGAACAGTTGCAAACAGAGGCAAATCAGGGCATCGCGTTGGATTTCCGAACGAGGCGACTGGGCTTGCATGCATTCTTCTCCCTCTGAAACTCCTATTTTATTTCTTTCCTTAGCTGCCATGCTTAGATAGCTTGCTCATGCTTTGGTTTGTCCTTTAATAGTTAATGAGTTTAACTATTTCAATTCGTTTTGTAATAATTAGTTAACTAGGATTAGTTAATTAATTTGTTGTGTAATAATTAGTTTAATTAGCTTAGATTAGCTAGTTAGCTTTTTATTTGGTCCCTCCTTTGAGAGGGCGTATTGTTGTAATAAGTGTGTGTGTGTGTGATGCATGTCTTCCAACCCCCATTTCTTTCTTCCTTACTTAACCGCTTACGATGGTTAGTTTTAGGGCATATTTCATTTAGCATACCTTATGCTCGCATGCGTGCATCCGTTCATCTGTCTTGTACGCACCAGGCTCGGCGCATCATACTAACTGCATTGTATTTCAATACCTATTTGAATACATGTACCAAGTTGCATTTCACATGACATTCTAGAATAGTCGAGCCTATTTTAGCTACATTTTCGCATGTGTTGCATTAGCCATTTTAACATGAACTAGAATCATGCATTGATTTCTAACTGGTTCTTTGTTTTGGCTCGGAGTACATTGTGAGTGTTTAAGCTTTAGCATACTACATGTGTGTTAATGTTGCCATGAAAGCATGCCTGCCATGAGGCTAATTGCTTATTTGATTAACTGCCTGAATGCCTGTGGAAGAAGGTTGGATTGCTTGAATTGGAACAATTCATTGAATCCACATTTTAGCCTACTTACGAGTAGCAAACGTAAAACCATTTTCAAACGAACATGCAATGTTTTGTTCCAAATTAGGCGATCTAGTCTATACTTCTTTGTCGTGCGCATCACGTAGTAAGATTAGCTATTTAATCGGAATAAGAACACATTTGTTTTCAAAAACAAAATATCATACTTAGTACAGGTCGA